GGTGGTACGGCGTTGTGTAGATTCACTAGAAGGTGCTTGTAACCCTGCGATTATTACCCATGATTTTCAATGGGGTTCTGAGCCTGAGAAAACAAAATTCTTAGTCACGAGATGACGAGTAACATGGCATCTATTCAGAGCAAGCATATGTGAGTTTCCGAAAATAGCGGATCCTAATATAGTACCAGGAATAGTAGGCTCCTTATCATAAGCACCCCCAAATAAGGTACCCCCATTTTCGGAAACTCCCATACAGTGAGCCAGAACCCTCCAGAACGACCCGCAGCTCCCGGAAAGTTCGGGCTGCTCCCCACCATCTCAAGCTGCAAAGCAATTTAGGGCAGGGTTTAGGGTTTAAGGTTTAGGGTTAAGGGTTTAGGAGCCGAATGATGCAAGGGCCAGCCCAGGAGACTGCCATTACAGCTCTATCATGCCCGGGCCTGCCAGATTCCTCAAAGTACATGCCTCCTTGACTACGGCACCAGTTACGGAACTAGTAAGCAAGGACGCCCCAATGCTGAATCCACCAACATACGAGATCAGTCTCCGGGAACCAGGAAGCTGTGCAAAGCTTTCGCTGATGGGCTCTGCACGCGAGGACACCGTAGTTTCCTTCGCGCTGAAGCATACAGAATTTGGTTTGGATTTTAAGTTGTGTTTGATGTCTGAGAAAGCGTAGCTCGATTGCGGGATTTCCATCCCAGAAGCCCCGTGGCACCCCATGGTGCCCGACCAATCATCAACATCCGGTGTGATCCGCAGATTTCATGGAACATCTGCGGCGTTGCTCATGAGCTAGGCACCACACCCAAAGTGGAAACCATGACCTCTACGAGCCGTACGGTCGGATGAGTGTTTAGGCTTCAGCATTTGGGCAGGGTTTCAGTGCCTCAGTCTCAGCACAGCACAACCATCGCAGCCGCCTTATCGCTCAAAATGATCGAACCCTAAACCTTAAATCACAATCTACAAAGGCCCGAGTCTCAACAGCATTTAAACGTGGAAAGCACTTTGGTCCTTTGACATCACATGACCGCGGGGAACCAGAAACTGTCCCCCCTAAACTCCTTAACCCTATCTGTAGTCTTCATTGTAGTTCCTTTTTTGGTTTAACCAAATATATGATTAGGATCCTATAAAGTAACCCCCAAAAAGGAACTACAATGGAGACTTTAGGTAAACCCTAAACTCCGACCCTGATATAGCCGTAACTTGGATTTAGATTCGTCGTAGGGTCATTAGAGAGGCCCTACAAGCCCCTCACGAGCAGGTTCAGGATTGAGCCGTTTAGGTTTAGAGAGTCAGGGATGAGCAGGGTTTTTGTAGGCTAGAGATGTTCCGGGCTAAGGGCTTCGGAGTTGGCCTCATGCGCAGGAGATGATTGTGTTTTTGCTCATGGTGAGGCGCCGCTTCCAGGGTCGTCAAGAAAATTGTTTTGTGCTTCAGTCAACATGGGCCTTAGGTTGTTCCTGTATCCCTCAACCCTACAGACTAGCAGGTTACGAGCCCCTAATTCGAGGGTATATGCCTGAAACAAGTACGTTTTAGGTTTTGGGATCCTCCCCTAAACCCTAAACTCTTAAGTTGCTCATCTTTCGGACACTTGCTGATCATAGAATTTACGAAACAGGAGTCACTCCTCCTACTTAGAGGCCCAGCGGACTTAGTAAGTAGGATATAAGTAGGGTCTTAATTGTGGGTAACTCCATTTAGGTTCGTATCGTATAACCTACTGAATTACAAAGGCCCTTGGGCCTCTAAGTACTGCATCTTCGTTCCCTGGAACAAGCACAGTGATTCGGAGAACTCCATGTCCGAGAAGAAGAGCACACAGGCAGTTTATAGGAGGCCAGATATGGAAACCTTCATCAGGAGTTGATGGGACCTAAAGCATCAGAGCGGCTTTGAAGCCGTTCAGTGAAGGGCATGCAGCCCTCAAGGCGTTGCCCAGAAGCCCTTTTCCCTGACTACGTGGAGGATCATGGGACTTAGTAAGTAGGGTTATAAGTACCTTAATTGGGGTTATAACTAATTATAAGTACCGTTACCTTAATTCTAACCCTAGTTACTATCCAAGGGTAAAAGGAGGAACCCTTAATAAGGACCCCTAGGTAGATACCCTTAATATAGCGATTATATACCCACTATATAGCCCATTATAGGGTAGGGGTCCCCATTAAGGGTCCCTCCTTTTCCCCTTTGATACTAAGTCCCATGATCCTTTAAGCAGCCCTGCAAGCCTCAACCCAGGCAGTTCCCAAAGTGCGGGCAGCGGTTTAGAGTTTCAGGGCTTGGGGCTTCTTGGTTAAGGTTCAAGTTTGAGGGTTTGAAGGGTTTCGGGCTGCCTGTAAGAAGTAAGAACAAAAGCACAACTCTTCAACCAAAGTCCAGCTTGATAGGCGAAAACCCATGAACCTGAGCCTTTAACCTGAAGTTCCAAGCTCAAACTGGAAGCTTATTTACAGGGTTTGGGATTCGAGGGCTAGTACCCAGACTTTTGGGAGGATCTAGAAAGTAGATCCCCTAATTTGGGGCCCTATACTACTACGGGTACTTCATAGGAACCCCCCCCATTAAGGGATCTACTTTTTGGATCCTCCCGGGGGTCTGGGTATAGGGTTCAGAGCCATCACTGCAGAGGCCTGGAGCAACCCCTGCAAAATCCTGTAAGACCCTGCAAAACCTAGACAGTCCCTCGTTACAGTCCTAAACCCTAAACCCTAAAAGGTTCAACTCCGCGTGACGGATGGAATCTACAAAACTCAGCTCTGACCTCAGGTGCTTCGTGATTTTAGGCGTTTAGGGGTGGTGGGTTAAGGGTCTTGACTCACTGTTTAGATTGTTGTTCCGTATTTCGCGAGGGGGTGTTGGCCCAAGTTTTCAGTTTGAGGCTAGTTGTTTAAAGGTTTTGCTGCTTTAAATAAGTGCTCAAAACAAAAGCTCGGCTGATTTGGGGGTCAGTATGGCTAAAAGAGTTGTGGTCTAGGGTGGTGGGGTTTTTGGGAGTTCGCTAGGTTTTCAGGGTCTGGGGCCGTGAGATTAAACTCTTGGGATTCCTGGCTTTATGTTATAGGGTCTAAAAGGATTCTATAAGGAGTGGTTCGAGTTCTAGGCCCTAGGCTGAAACTAGGGGTCAAACTTGCTTGCTTGGCTTTCTTTTATGATATGGTTTATGATTCAGGGCCAGGGTATTAACAAAGCTTTAGGGCTTGTCGTATGTTCGTGACTTCCCCCTGGAATCTATGACTTAAGGAGTTCTGAGGGGAGATTTCTTGCGATTTTCGGACTTGCTATAGGATACTTACAAAATACTATTTTGGGGGTTCCTTATTATAAGCACAGCAAAATGGGCCCCGAAACCCTATTCTAATTGTTATATTAGGGTCTAATCAATTTAGTGTCGAGATGCAAGATGCTTAGGTTTGGCGTTTTGGAAGTCTGCGTGGGGCGCTGTCTGAACCCCTCTACCCTTATAGAATCCCTATAGATCCCCTTTAAAGGGACCCTTAAAGGAACCCTTATAACTACCCATGAACCTGCAAAGCGGTTTAGAGTTCAGTGCCAGGGCTGCTTGGGGCTTCGTAAAGCGGTCGGTGCTAGGAGCTTAGACCAGGGAGGCTGCTTCGGGTTTCGAGTTTACGGACATTCCAACGGTGTAATTAGTTGCTTTCGGCTATTTAGAAAGTGTCACAGAAAGTCGCGCCTAAGACCATATGCTCTGTCCAACACTGATTGCTAACAGACTTGTCGATGGTAAGTCCTGAATCCATAAACCGTAAGCCGTTGTACAACTGCCCCATTTTTCAACCCTAGACGCCAAACCTTGAACTCCAAACCCTGCACTGACCTCACTCCAGCCCAACGTCGCATTGTACTCTCAACTCACCAGCCCCCAACCCAAGACCGGTCCAGAAAAACCCAGATCTTCAGGAGGCTGTATTTGCACAAGAGATGACGCATCGTTGTCAAAGTCACCCTGCGCACAAATGAAGACCCTGGCAGTCTGAATTCAAAACCACTAGCATGACCTTTTTCTTCGTTCTTCTGTGGATGACCTCTTCTCAAGTTAAGGTCCTATCATAAGGACAAGCAAACCCAGTATCTTATTTCATCTGATTCGTATTAAACCTTTCCCAGATCTGAAAGCCCACAGTCCTCTTGCTCAGCCTGACTACTTGGAGTTCACCTGGACCTCATGGCATCCTACTATTTGTTGCAAGTAACTCACTATCCGCACTCATTAATGACATTCTGGTTCTTACTACATAGTAGCAGTAAGAGTAAGAACAAATTATAGCAATGACCAGAATAGCAATGACAATAATGTTAGTTGGCACAATTTTTGCGTTCTTCACTATAGATTATGACATATCGCCCGATGGCTCAGAGATCAGAGTCCCCGTTTAGTCGCGCCCTTGCTTCGGCGCCTTTTATTCTGCGCGGCTCACATGGGAGAGCGAGCGGAGGAGCTGATCCTTTGCGGCTTGCAGGATTGCTGCGCGCTGCTGCATGGAGAGCTCGTGTCGTATGATACTATACTGTTACTGTATTAGTACCATTGTTATTATTGTTATTGTCATTACTATCTAGCATTACTCTGGTATTACTCTATTGTTATTATTCTCATTCTCTATTAATATTACGTAACTATTACTGTATTGTTTCTTCTGAGACCAGCATTTGTCGTCTTATGATTTAGGGCCAGATGTACTGTCGGGTTTGGTTGTGTGCAGTGTGCAGACCACACATGCTAGATGACCAGGGCACTGGATGAACGTCGACCCACCCCAGACTTCTTAAGTGGGCTCTTGTTCAGGAAGCAGGTTGAGTTGCCACAACAGACATGAATATCGTGGTTTCCTGATAATAGTAGCCTAAATTAAGTTCCTCTTTGTCGGCCTAGGCCTAACCATTAAATATATAATTGGGATCCTATAAGGGAACCCCAGAAAGGAACTACAATGGAGATTCTAGGTATATTGACAACGAGAACCCAATAAATGGTGAAGGACTCGTACAGTTCGCAGTCGCTGCAGACAGGCTGGCATGCTTCGAAGGGGCCGAAAACCCTTCAATATCCCTTCAATACCCGCTATGAACCCTAAACCCCTAAACCCCAAACCCCTAAACCCCTAAACCCCTAAACCCTAACCCCTATGAAAACCCTTCGAAGTCTTTACGACTCCTTATGTAAAGCTGGAAGATTCGGCATCTTGGGGCCAAGAAGCTCTTGCCATGCTGTGTGCCACCCCCGCGAGGTGGACGCCATGCTTTTGTATCCGGGCAAAAGTTTGTGTATGATCTCATCGACTGCATGAAGAATGACTTTCAGAGTCAGTACCTCATCTGGCTCCTCGGCAGGATCCCTAGAATCCTGAACACTAAACCTTAATCTCTTCTTCTTCCGGCCTCCTTTGAGCTGGAGGTCTTGTGTTTCGGGTTGGAGAGCCCTACTTCAGGGTTCGAGGTGCTTCAAGATCATCATGGGCAAGTGTTTTCAGTTTTGTGTCGATTCGTAAATCAGGTAGGCTTGACAGTTTCAAGCTCACTGAAGGTTGAAGACAGCGTTTCAGAGTCTAACGGTTGATGATATAAATCCTGCATTACCCATAATAAGCAATATACCATAATTCCCATAGTTTAGGGTCCTTAAGGTAATGCAGGATTTATATCATCAACCGAAACAGCTGGTAGTTCGACTGACAAGCCTTTGTTCATCCTGTCGCACACTCTTCTCAAAGAGGAAAAGGAGGGACCCTAATGGGGACCCCTACCCTATAATGGGCTATATAATGGGTATATAATAGCTATATTAAGGGTATGTGCCTACGTAGGGGTCCTTATTAAGGGTCCTTCCTTTTGCCCTTGGATCTTCGATAGCAAGTGGTTATGTAGAAGCTCTTTTCATTGCACAGGCAAGCTTACATTTCCACCGTTTACACCACTAGATCACCCAGAGTCCTACAAGCTCGTTTTACAGCTTGCGGATTTGGGTTGCAGAGTCTGGGGCTGTAGGGCACTTCTGGGCTCTGGTCTAGGGCCAAGCATCTGTCCCTCAGGGTTCGGGGTTGTGGAGTTTAGGGCAATGTCTGGTTGACACCTACCCCGAGACCCTGTGCGTTCCAGCGAAGTGAGGCAAGACTTGTTCCGGCGAAGCGAGTATCACCAGAGTGTGCAGACCCTTGGCCACCTTCTTGGTTTGGTTCTTATTCACAGAGCTGGTTTGCATGTACTACAGATGGGTTAACTTAAGGGTTTGGTGTCCCGTCAGGCAAACGATATTCAGCAGCTTGAAGAGAAAGCAGAGGTTGAATTCAAATTTCACCGTTTCACCAAACAAAGCCACTGCCCGGAGCCCTGAATCTTGGAGCCCCCCTAAGCCCTAAATCCTAAACCCTAACCATTAAAGCCAATGCCCGGAGCCCTGAACCTTGGAGCCCCATCCGCGAAGCCTTAAAGCCAAAGGCCTTGATGTTTTTCTGCTTTAGGTTTCCCAGCCCAGAACCCGTGAACAGAGTGCTTTCAAGCCTGAAATCCCTGAACACCAAGCCCTAAACCCTAAGCCCTAAACCCCAAGCCCTAAACCCTAACCTGAACACTGGAGCTCGTGAGGACTCGCGAGGCGTCACTGATTCTCTCGGCGATCCGAGCTGTGCCCATACCATTTGCGGCCTTGCTGCGACTCCTGAGACCCGGGTTTACTTACCTTTGGTTAGTAGGGAATGGAGGAATGAGGTACAATTGTAACTACTATTGCTACCAGTCTTCCATTCCCTACTAACCAAAGGTAAGTTTGGGGGTTCAAGGTCTTGGGCTTCGTAGGCAAGATTTCGCTCCAGACGGTTGCCCGAGAACCCGAAAGGCCCAAAAGCAAATGAGCCTTGATGATTCAGCAATAACCAATCCCTAGTTCAAAACTTCGAAACCGTAACCCTAAACCCTAAACCCCTAAACCCCTAAACCCTAGACTAGTTCAATTCTAAGCCCAAGACCTCGACACGTCACCTTCACCAGGCTGCAATATGCTTTTCCCGCCCAGGTCAAGATTTGCGAGGATGTCGGTCAAGCAATGTGCAGGGCAGTTGCTGACGTGGAAGGTCACTTAGCTCCAATATCTTACCGGGCATTGAACCACTTTCGACTTCTTTTGAGTTCGCATTTGTGTGAAACTCGAAGCTGTTGTTTCCTTGAATGGGGGGAACCAGTAAGGTCAGCACGCGAGCCAGCATGGCTCTATTCTGGACAGGTTCGAAGCAACGTGTCAAAGCTTGCTTGAGAAAGTGGCAAACGACGTGCCCGAGCCTCGCCTTGCCCCGGGTGTTTTTTGGGGTACTTAGAAATAACTTTTAATTGTTGCTTATTATAATCCCTAAGAAACAGCTAAAGTCATAAATTTTGCTAGGGTTCTAAGTTCAGTATAGTGGTATTTTGGGGTTTAGAGTGGTGTGACTCACCAAGTGGGTGGTTATCAAAATTAAGGTCCCTTTAATTTTGGGGTACCCGAAATAGTAGATGCCGTGATGTATTGTGGACCCAAAGAGAGACCATAATTTTGACAACCACCCAAGTATCCTCAACGCAAGCCCTTCTGAAGCCCGAAAACCGATTGAGGGATTGCTGCAATCCTCCGGGCCCCACACTCTCAAGCGCCCAAGCCCTAAACCCTAAACCTCGAGAAAGGGGCCCGGGCAGGGATCTGTTTCGCTCAGGAGCTTGATTGGCTCTGCGAGAGAGTCGACTTGTCTCTCAGATCATTCAACAGCACCCGCGCGTTACTCGGCAGTTTCCAAATGTCCATGTCCATCAGTTCCCCTTTGCCGTAGGATTTATTCCTTAGGCTCGAGGCGCTTGGAGGGTTTGCGATAAGCATGATTTTCTGCCCTTCCTTGCGACAAATCCCTTTACATCAACCCAGTCCCAAAAGCCTTTAACACCCAACAGTATAACTCTAGTGCAGTACCCTAAACCTTGTTCCCCTAAACCGTACCATCAGGCAGCTGGGTCAGATATGCCAGTCCCTCATTGCCGGCTACTTCTTCCATGCCTCTGGTTTCCGCTGGTTCCAGGCCGTTCAGAGTGAGCTTCGCCTTCACGGTAATACAGAGGCTTGAAGAATTGGCAAGGTAGGGCAGATAGGGTTCCTATGCCATCATAACATACGGCAAAACCTCATTCTGAGTACTCAGGCCCCTAAACTTGCCGACAAGCGATCGGTTTCCAAGTGTTGCTTCCTTGTAGTCGGAACTCCCTCACGATCATGGTTGCAACCCAAGCCTCTGCAACCTGCTATAACGTATATAGTATGCCCTTATAGTTCTTCTATGTTGCAGAATACTAAGCCCTATAAACCCTAAACCCAATCATATACCCCACAGCCCCTTTCCAATATAGGAGAGCATGGTTCTCGTCATGATGGTGACCTTTGATGAACCTCGTGTGGCAGAGACGAGTGTTGTGGTCAATGTGTCAATGGGTCTTGCTGTTTCTCAGTATGCACGAAAGCTTAGCAGCGGTCCTTGTACCGGTAAGCTGCTACACTTCTGGAGCATCTGTGCAGATTATAGACATAAAACGATTCGACAAAGTTTTGCCGGAGGACAAATCGAGTATTTACAAGATGCGCTGCATGTCGAACGTAAGCAGACCAACATCGAATCGGGCTGAAATTGCCCTGCCTAACGAACACGGACCACGCATGCATCACCAAATGTTCTAACCCGCTGCGGCAGGTGAACGGGACCGGGAAGCTTGTCCATTGCAACTCCTACGGTGGCTTGCCTTGTCCACGCGCATTGCAGTGGTAACGGGCTTGCGACACAGTGCTGAGGGTCCACGGATCTGAGTCATGGGTGTGCACTCCTCTTCTGAAAAGCTTTGTCGTGCTCCGTTCTCGTTCGCACATAGTCACCAGTTTTTTCAACAGAGAAGCTTTCGTGATGCTGGCTTCGAACCCAACCCTTAAGCATTGACGTTTGGTGAAGACAGGTTGCATCCGTGACCATGACACCGACGAGGATGCACTATGCCGCAAGTTCCTAGGCCTTATTCGGATTGATTTTTGCATTTTGGGTTTCCGGTAAGTTAGATTTATTCTGCGAGTCGAACCTTGGATGTCCTTCTCAGCTTGGGAAGCCAGTGGTAAGTTCGAGGCCATTGAATTCATAAGGCTTGAACGTTCCACGACTTGGGGCCTCTCGCTGATACTTACTTAAAGGATCATGGGACTTAGTAACTGGGGTTATAATTAAGGTAACTGTACTTACAATTACTTATAACCCCAATTAAGGTACTTATAACCCTACTTACTAAGTCCCATGATCCTCCAAGTAGGGGTACTTAGAAACAGCTTTTAATCGTTGGTTATTATAATCCCTAAGAAGCAGCTAAAATTATGATTTTTTGCTAGGGTTCTAAGTTCAGTATAGAGAAAGTGTGTGAGTTGGGGAGAGGGTTCGGCTTGGGGCTGAAATTCCCAGGTTGAAAACCCGAGCCCTGTAAACCCTAAATGCTGGGGCCTTAGTACACAGAATAGGGTCTGGGGTATGTTATGAATAATTACAATAAGGAACGCCCAAAGCATTACATTTGAAGGCCAAGCGCTAAAACTCTAAACGCTAGGCTAGAATAGGTCCGCTTTCGTAGTTCGTAAACAACATCTCTGAGCACTAAGAGCCTAAAGCCTAACTCTTTATGCTCCGTGGAGCAGATCAGACGAGTCGGTTTGAGGGCTTCCACAAGACAGAGATACTCCCTAAACCCTCAAACCCTAAGCCCTAAAACCCTAAGCCCTAAACCCGCCTAAACCCTAACCCCTAAACCCTAAAACCCTAAGCCCTACACCCTATAAAGAAGACAAAAGCATCCCAGGTTGGAGCAAGTCCTGGAAGATGCTCCAGAAGCATTTTGGCTCACTGCCAGCGAGGGGCGTCCCCGAGAGACGGAGTGGAGAGGCAAGAAGGTGGCTACTGGGCTCCGAAATGGGTGGTTGTCAAAATTATGCTCCCTTTTTGGGGTTCCTATCAAGGGCGCCTAATATTTAGGGTACCCAAACAGCAGCCATAATTTTGACAACTACCCGAATATTGAAAAGTGATTCGTTTGGGAATGTGTTGTTGATTCTGGACCTCGTTCTTTGGCCCTAAACTCTAAACCCTCTTTCTGATGCAGGGCTAAGGGTTGGGCTTCGGATTTCTTGGGATTCAGGGTTTAGGGCCCAGTCATTGGTAAGAGGATATCTAAGTCATCACCTGAGGAATTATGGCGTGTTAGGATCTGTGCAACTTAAAGGCTTACAAGGGGGACAGTCTGCGTCAGTGTAAGATCCCTGGATGCGCAGGCTTTGTTTGCCTGGGCTTGTGGTATGCTCATGTACGGAAGTCTGAAATCACCCACCCGTACAATCCCTGAGGGGCCGAGAATAAAGAGGAGTCTCCTGGCGAACAGCGGCAGAGCATTTTCGTAAGCTAGTCCGGCTGGAGATTCAAACTTGCTCTGCCCATGATACCCCTTATCACCCCACCACCGAAGCGTTTCTGCTGCAAGCCGGAATACTCAACTCCCACATTACACTGCCTGCTGAGGAAGTTGCTTGCAGCTTTGAGCATGATCTGGAAGGCCCATTGAGCAGCTAAGCCTGGCATCGGGTCCAGCCCTTCAGGGTTTAAAGTTTAGGGCTGTGGTTGACTTTTCAGGCTTTGAGACGTTCAGGTTCAGGGGCTGAGGGTGCTCGAGTTTAGGGTTAAGGCTAGGGACCCCTAAACCCCCAAACCCACAAACAAAATCCCGAATAAAGCCCAAGCGAATTCCAACAAAAAAGGGCGCCCACAAATATCCGAAACTAATCCCTAAACCCTAAACCCTAACAAAAAAAGCGCAAACACATATCCAAACACTTACGAAAGTCACCGCCAAGGCAGGCATTTGATCTCTGCCGAAGTAGCAGAGCGCTGCAAGCAAGGACTGGAGCCACTCGACAGCTTGGTGTAGGGACTCAAAAAGCACATAAGCATAAGCATTTTATAGGGATGTCCCCTACCTTATTGGGCTTCATTATAAGGGGGTTTAAATGGGATATCCCGATCCTAATTTTTGCTGATGTGCTTTTTTGGGGCCCTGCTAATCCCTAGATCTCGGGTTTTGGGGTTAGGGAAGCCTCGGAGACCCCCCGAAAACTTTATCTTTACGATAAGAATATTTCGTTTTTGTCTGCATAACCTATGTATAATAGACGGAGGGAGGACTAAAGATACGAACCTTGAAAGGTAGGGGCTCAGGTGATGAATGTTGAACTTCATAAGCCATTACACTGGCTTTGCGGTTTCGTAGTGAAGGATCGGGTTCAGTGATGCTGTTCTCCGGAAGTCCTTGTGCAAAGGCCCACGCTTTTCGGCGAATGGTCTTGGTTCTCGGGGCCTCGGGTTTGGGAGGAAACCCTAAACCTCAAACCGTGGAACAGCAGCTGCCTGTCCGATCTGAGCTTTCTGTAGCAAAGACGGATGCAGACGGGAAAAGGGCCTTCAAAGCAAACAACCTCCTACCCTAAACCCCTAAATCCCTAAACCCTAAACCCCTAAATCCCTAAACCCTAAACCCCTAAACCCTAAGCCCCTAAAACCGTGGGGAACTGCGAAGCAGCCATCCCAGGTTCTGGGGAGTCTCTGATTCGAGCAGCACTGCTCTGAAGTGGCTTGGTTCAGCTCTCGGACGGCCTCGTCATATGGTATTATCTGATATTATAAGATATTATACGATATTATATGATAATTTATGATCGTATATGATATCATATGATAATTTATGATAGTATATGATATTATATGATGTTCTGTTCTATAGACATCTCTTGCTCAAAACAGGGCCTTTCAGTTTGGGATCCAAGGCGGGTATTCTAGGGCTACGGAGGCCAGATCCCCCAAAGATCTTGTCAAGATCTCGATGGTTTAGGGTTTAGGGTTTAGGGGTTTAGGGTTTAGGGTTTAGGGCTTCTTGTCAGGACTTCGATTCACGGGCTTGGCAGCCTTACTGTGTACTGCATCGTGCAGAAGCCTGAGAGGACCTTTGGCCAACAATGCCCTTGATATGCCGTATGCCGTACCTAAACTGAAAATCCTAAATTGCATTTTATATGTTACATAACGCAATAAGTGATACATTATGTAATACTATACTGTATTACATTATATTACAGTATAATATATATATATATATATATATATATATATATACGTATCAGTATCAGAGCCGGCATTCTTCAACCATCAGCGCCGCTACTTTAATCGCTCCCCTCTTCGCGATCTGTCGCATCAGGGTGTCTGACTTGAAGCTGAAGGGCTCAGGTCAAGGATTTTCACTCTAGCTTTTGATCTCGGTTTGGGGTTTAGGTCTTAGGTCTTAGGGTTTTTGAGATCTCCGACACTGACATTCCCAATATATTTCCTCGGCGAAGCTGTCAGCAGCCTAGGTGTGCAGTGGGTGTCTCGGCGGCGGTCTAGGGCGCAAGGTTCAGGTTCAGGGTTCGAGGCACTTGGGCACAGGATTCGGAGCTTAAGTTACTTTCAAAAAAACTTGAAGTGAGGCTAAGGCTAGGATGTGTGGACTTGTGCGTCTTATGGGTTTATTCGGCAGGGAGTTCCGAGTTTAGCTGCAGCGGGTCTTGTGCGCTTTCCGCACGCAGACAACTGTACTGACCTTCCCTGTATGCCACAGTCAAAGGGGAGAAGGAGGGACCCTTAACGGGGACCCCTACCCTATAATGGGCTATATCATGGGTATATAATAGCTATATTAGGGGTATATACCCCTAAACCCTAAACCCTAAACCCTTATACCTAGGGGTCCTTATTAAGGGTCCCTCCTTTTACCCTTGGATACAGATCATGTCCGAGGCCTCCAGTTAGGACTGGGCCTCGAGCTTTCCCCATCTCGGGACTCTCGAATTTCTACAGACAGTCGTAGTTTTTTAGTCGAATTTCTAGAGACAGTCGTAGTTTTTAGTCGAATTTCTATAGACCGTCGTAGTTTTTAGTCGAATTTCTGCAGACCGTCGTAGGTTTTAGATATCCGGAGGGTTTCAGATTCTCAAATTCAGAGGGTTTCACATTAAATTCAGAGAGGCATGGCACGGCCGCCGAAAACATACCTTTCTAAGCATGGCGCTAGTTTGCTTTCAAGTCCATTGCAAATTACACCGGATCCCAAAAGGTAGGATGAAGGTAGGTGGGATATTCCCAAACAAGAGCCCTTATAGTAGGGATCCTTAATCCCACCTACCTTCATCCCACCTTGTGAGGCCTCCGGTACACCGGATCCCAAAGACAGTCCAAACAAATCTGCTTTCAGGCTGACCGGTTAGGATTTCAGCGCAGCAGTGACCGGGAACTCATGAACATGATAAATTTCTCTTCCTAGGGTTTTTGTGGAGGGTTTGGGGTGGCTTCAAACTAGAAAAAGGCAGGGATGGCCAATTTATTCAGGCCTGGCTGGGCAGCAGGTCCACTCAACACTCGGCCCGAACTTCCGGCTTGCAGTATTACTGCAGTTGCCTTTTAGATATCTCCAGAGAGTGATTCCGAATTCTTGGGAAGGTTGGCACTGCAGTTGCCCGTACTCTTACTGTGGTGTTTGTTGCTTTCTGGGTTCAGGCTCAAAGTTAAAGCTTCTGGTTCAGCTTGGAATGGTAGCCACACTCCCCCCCAGTGGACAGCTCAGGAACACAAGCCTACAATTCCTGAAGCATGAGCTCTAGAGATCAGACCCCGGAACAGATCCTGAACGGCGAAAGCAAAACCAGCCTCCTGTAGCGGCGGTCCCTTATCAGATCCCTGAGCCCCTCAACCGTTCCGAACCCTGAGCCCGAGCTATCCCCATCCGAAACACAAAACCCTAAAGCATCCTAATCTCCGATTGAAACCCTAAACCCTAAACCCTATACCATATATTAACCCCTAAACCCTATACCCTAAACCCGAAAACTCCAACTGAAACCGCAAACCCTAAACCCTATACCCTATACCCTGAACTCCAATTGATCTCTAAATCTGAGGCTTTACGTACTACTACTTTGGACTTGCAGAAATCCTGGCGAGCCGCTCCACTGCTGCGATGCATCTGGGCTGTTCTTCGGAAGACTCCCATTCGGTGCCTAGTTCCTGGTGCATCCTAGTGCAGGGGTACACACGTATGTGTGTGCGTGTGTGTAGATAATTTTTATATACACACACGCACATGTAGGTATAGATATAGCAGATGGGTGGTTGTCAAAATTATGGTCCCTTTTTGGGTACCCTAAATAATAGGTGCCGTATTATATTGGGGACCCACAAAGGGACCATAATTTTGACAACCACCCAGATATAGACATAGATCTAGCTAGATTACTTCGGACCGGCACAGACTGTTGGGTGGGGAGGTTGGCGGCCGAGGAGAACAGCCATAGCTACAACCACAAAGATCGCCAACTCACATACTTTTAGCCCTGATCCTGCAAGCAGTATTTGATGGCTACCTAAACCCCCCAAAGTGTAGGTAGAATAATGGCCCAATACCTATAAAAAGGTTATTATTCTACATACTTTGGGGGTCCAGGTAGAGGTTCCTGGTTTTCAGGCTTTGGGATTTCGGGCCTAGCGGTTTGGGGCTTTCGGCCCTCGGGCTTTAGGACTTTCGGGTTTAGGGTTGTGCCTGCGGCTTGGGGCTGTCGAAACCCCCTAAACCCAAAGCCTCCTAAGCCGTCAAGCTCAGGTGTACCAACATAAAAAGCCCCGAACCTCGAGCCTTCACCACCCCCAACCCTAAACCCTGCAAAACCCTAAGCGACCAAACAGAAAGCAAAGAGCCCGGAAGCTCCAAGCCCTAAACCCTATCAACCTCCTAAACCCTCTAAAGCCTATAAAGCCTATAAGCCCTAGAAACCCCATAAAGCTTATAAACCCTAGAACCCCTGAGAGTTCGAGCAAGGTTTGCCCTGGCTAGTGACAACTACTCAGAAGAGTACATGCGGTGTCGCCAGTTCCTGCAAGGTCCTCCTGGGGTTTCAGATCATGGGCTATCGGTTTAGAGTTTTAGGCGTTTAGGTTTTAGATGTGGGGGTTTAGGGTCATTTTTTTGTGGGTTTGGATTTCGGGGTCAGGGTTAGGGCTTTAGAGTTTGGATTTCTGGGGTTCAGGGCTTTAGGGGTTGGATTTGGGGGTTTAGGATTTTGCAGGTTTGGATTTGCTGATTTAGGGTTCAAGGTTTTAGAGTTTGGATTCTGGGGTTCAGGGTTTAGATTTTGGGGTTTAGAGTTTTACGGATTTTGGGGGTTTTGAGTCTGGGATGCAGGGTTTGAGGCTTGGAGTTTATGGCTGAGGCTTGAGGATGGGCATAGGGGTCGGAGTTTGAGAAAAGACAGCGTAGATGCAGCTCTGTTTTAAGCACCCCGAAAAACCCTAAAACCCTACTAAACCCTAACATTGCGGGCAGATCCAAAGAAGCCTGGAGGGTTGGGGCATGCAGGCTTTAGGATGGTTTAGGGTTTAGGGGAACCAGCAGCAGCATCTTTAAGAGGGAAACTGTCATGAACGTGGCTTCGAGCAGGACATAGAAAGCAGTAATTCTCAGAAACCGTGCTGGGGCCCCGACAATCACATCGCGACAGCTTAGTCGGTTCTTTAACACCAGGCCCTTGGCCACCAGAGATGAGAGCCCTTTTACCGTAACAACTTTGAGCTTTCCAACACTGAACACTGAACCACAAGACACCAAACTCCAAACCCGGTGCTACGCAATGTACTTACCTTGTGAACAGAGGATAGGACCGTGCAAAATTGATATATATATATATATATCCTGTTCAAGGCGCCTTGGTTACCCGAGCGTCAAGCCCAAACCCTAAATTAGGCCCTCGACAATTGCAGGTCACCGACCACTCAAGCTTTTGGAAAGTGCTGTCACAGCACACTGCGAGTCCACACACGAAGACGATGCAGAAGCTGGGCTCGCACATTGGATACGTTTTTGTTTTTGCGTCCAATGTGTGTTGCATGCTTGTTTCTGATGGTTTCGCTGTGTTTGTGGGTTGTTGTAAACAGGTGCCCTAAACCCCTGAACCCTAAACCCTTAACCTAAACCCTAAACCCCTAAACCCTAAACCCTAAGCGACTTACGGGCTTTGGGTTTTGAGGGCTGGGGCTGCCGAGAGCCTTGGGACTAAGGAGGCTGAGCAGCCGGCCAAGGAGGTCGATGACGATAATTACTTGAACTTCTGTGCATGGATCTGATGGTCTGAACTGACACCCTAAACTCTAAGCCCCCCCCCCCCCCCCCCCCCCCCCCCCCCCCCCCCCCCCCCAAAGACCCTAAACCAAGACCCTAAACCCCAAATCTCTACAGCCTAGACGCATTTCTGAAACCCCAGAAGACCCTGAGAGTCAGGAACCTGTGACGGACATCCGGTCTTGCACAGGGCTCACACATTTTAGGATCGAGGGCTTAGGGGGGACGTTTCCATCAGCTCTCGGTGACAATTTTTTGTCAATTGATGCATGGGTCTTTCACTGGCAAGTGACAGTTTCTCAGTCGACAAGCGACTGTCGTCACCCTGCACGCATGCAAGGACATGCGAGGTAATCCAGCGAGTTGAAATGGCACGAGCCATAAAGTTACGATTGTACAGTCTCGAGGCTTATCCGCTCATTCAATCTCCCCTGATGTTTTCTGTTTACCCTAATTCCTACATATCCCGTATAACCTAGATGCAGATAGACGGACAAGGGGCCGCGGATGGCACGTTGCCGAACTTTTTGATCTTACGATGGTCTTGGGGCTCACATCTTCCTGTTTTAGACCCCTGTGCAAGACTTCGTGCAGACCCGGTGTGTGAAGGAGCAGGCTAACCCGCTCTCCAAAATTTAAAACAGAGTTGGCAAAAATGTCTGTTTCGTGAAGTTAAAGCCTATCAGCCAGAAGAGCCTTTTCGTGAGGATCTGGATACTTAAAGTCTACGTATACCGAAGGGTTTCTGGGGTGCTTCGGAAGTTTGGATCCACTTTGCTGGTTACGATGTTGGGGTTGTTGGTCTGGGTTCAGGCTTTGAAGCTCAAAACTTTCCGGGTATAGGGGTTAGGGCAAAGGTGTTCGGCAGCCGGCGGCCATGCTATTGCAAGCTCACATCGAGGGTTAGAGGTCAAGAACCTTTGGTCGAGGTGTTCAGCGCAAAGGGTGTTGTGCACGCGAAGGTAGCCCTCGAGTTCTTTACCCATAGGCTCCAAAGTATTCCCTTTTTAGGATTACTTTATAGGATTCTAAATATGAACCTCAAAAGGCAACTACTATGGAGCCTCTAGGTAACTCCTAAATCTAAGTTTTCGGAGCCCAAATCTCCGGCAACGAATTCCAGAGGCTTCTGACGCCTGTCGGACCCTAACTTCACAGGCGTTCAGCCTACATGGACCCAGTTTTTGAGATATTGTGTTGAACATGTTTCTACCCGAAATACCAGTTCTTGGCATGCTTATACAGCATCCTCTGGAGGTTTGCTGGCTGCAGCTGGTTCCGCTGGAAAGCTGCAGGATACATTCGGATTTAGCAATGCTCTCTGCTTTGTCACACTACGAACCAAAGTGCACGCCCTGTAGCATGTCAAGCCTTTCGGGCCTTCCATGCTTTATTTGTCCTACGACGAGACGTGCGATAGGAGTCGAACGGGGCTTTGTGTGTGTGTGTGTGCGGTAGACTTGTATTCAGGAATCTAAGGTATGGTATTCGCATTTATTCAGGCCCTTGCATTAATCTCTGAACCCTAAACCCTTTAGGTCACCCTTATACTAAGTAATCCTGAACCCTACGTATTCGAGAGATATGTTCGAAACCCTTTAGAGAGACCTCTATAAGAGCCCTGTTAAGGGAGCACTTCAGAGCAACCCTATTCTGACCATTGAGCCGTTAGACCCTAGGGCTCGACAGAGCCATGGCACTGCTTAGCGCAGCAAGCGGCCCGGCTCGCCGCGGAGATGTTGAAAAAGCCGGGATCCGAGAGGGCTTCCTACAAGGGTTCCTTTAGGGGGGTTCCCTTGAGGGCTCGGGAGGGGGTTCAAAAAGACTTCCTGTAGAGGGTTCACTGTTGGCTTTTGGGGTTCGGCAAGTGTTCTTGAACGTTTCTCTACCGGTTCTATCCGGGTCCCATGAGAGTTCTATAGGGGTTCTGTAAGGGATGGTTCAATTCGAATTTGAGGGCTTTTGGAGTTTGATACAAGACTTCTCTTGGGGTAGGATGGGCTAAGGGGTTGTATTGGGGTGAGCAAGGGCGATAGGGAGCCTGGGAAGTGAAGTGGGATGCACTCAGACTATCAGGGGACTTGGTAAGCAAGGTTGTAGGCACCACAATTGGGGGTATAATTAAATGGCTGTAGCGAAGATAGTTGCCTTGTGCATTGTGCACGTTGCTAACCAATGACAATGATCCGCATGTGTACCATTTAGAACCTAAACGCGTAAACCCTCCTCAACACACTGGTTTACAAGATTTTCGGGCTGGCTACGTGGGTCTCGGAATAAGGACTCGATGTTAGTTGCTTGTTTTGCGGCAACTTTTCTCAATGCGTACTACAAGACACATTAGATGGCAGGGGTACAGGCCATTTCTGGTTATAAGAAAGAGGAAGCAGATATTTTGGCCCATTAGGAAGAGACCAGAGTAATCCTGTGGCCGGGTTCCGTAGTCCAAGCTGCACCCCAGGGAGGGATGCAATATAGGGGTCAGAATGTAGTGTCCTCTTTCAAATTCCGAGTTTCGAATACATCTACAGTGCAATAATAACGTGCCCTAGAAAGACCCCAAACCCTTCTCTGAGGGTTTATAAGGCCTGCGAAGGACTGGAGGCGACATGGACAGTGAAGACTTGGAGATGTACTTACCCATAGGCCCCAAAGTAGTTCCTTTTTGGGTTTACCCTATATAGGATTCTATATATGAACCCCACACACGAACTACTTTGGAGCCTTAGGGTAGGCTCCATGGCACATCCTCGGGCCTGGATTAACGGCATCGTGGTCCAAACTGCCGCTGAAAAAGACGGTCAAGTTGTGGTGATCTGGCACAGGGCACGTCACCCAGGCCACATGGCAACGAACTACTTTGGCCCCAGCATGGAAAGACGGTATGGCCAGGATGGCCAAGGACAGCACTCCCATCGTGCTTAGGCTTGAGGATGAGCATTATAGTATTGGGGCCTTAATAATTGGGATAGGGTTTGGGAGCCCATTATGCTATACTTACAAACAGGAACCCCCAAAATAGTATTGGTAATTATTAAGCCCCTTTATTACACGTACATGACCCCTCCTGAAGCAGACGAGGTTCCTTGGCTTGGCTTCGGGAGACTTCGGTGCCCTATAGGAGGCTTCTTCAAGGCTCGGTTGGGTCCCTAGACCTTACACCCTAGACCCTAAACCCTAAACCCTGGACCCCTAAACCCTAAACCCCAAACCCTAAACCCTGGACCCCTAAACCCTAAAACCCTACAACCTAGGCCCCCCCTGCAGTCCTTCTTTCCTACGGTTGATGATAGAAATCCTGCATTCCCTTAATGACCCCAAACTATGGGAATTATGGTATATCCCTTATTCTGGGTCATGCAGGATTTATATCATCAACCGTAGTGTTGGAGTCTCTCACTCCCCGCACAGCTATCCGTAAACCTGGACACCAAAACCTTGAAGCTTGAACTCTAAGCCCTAAACTCTACACCTTTGGATGCTTTGACCCTAAAATCCACACCCTTAAACCCTGAACTTCAAGTTGGACTTCAAGCTCTCCGCCCTTAAACCCGAAACTCTAACCTCTAATCCCTTAAATCCTAAACCCCTAAACCCTAAACTCTTCACCCTAGCTCGTTCCAACTTCTTAATCTCCAGGTGCGTGAGCTCATTGCAGCCCGTGCCCTGGCCCAAACCACTTGTGTTGGTCCCTCCTAGTGCTTTCAGGGTTGAGGGTCCCTAAACCCTAAACCCTAAAGGTTTAGGGCTTAGTAGGGCCTGGGGCCAAAGCCTATTCTCCAGGATCTTATTGTCCGACAAGGGACCTCCCCAGTTATGACGAAATCCTAGAGTACTCGTCCCCTTGCCTTGTTCTCAACATGGCTAGTAACAGCACAGCCACACATGGCAATACGAGGTCCGTCTGAACAATCGCTTTCTTGTGGGAAAGGACGGAATACAAACCGCCATGATCCTGACCACCGTGTTTTTTGCATCATGTAGCATCACCACCGTAGGATCACCACCGATGTCATCATTTAGTCTCACAACTATCACAATCATCGTCAATACCACCATCGTCAAAGGTGCCATCACCATCACCCTCACTATTGTCATCGTCACCATCGGCATCGTCGCGTCGTTATCGCAATGACGAACAACACCAGCTGCAATATTGGAACACTGAGAAGAACGCCAGAGACGAGAGCGTGCAACAGCAGCAGGAGAACCCCTCGAGGCCCCAAAACAAGCCCTAAGACTCCATGTACCCTTATAGTAAGCACTTAGGCCTGAAAGGGGTCCCTATATGGGTACTTCAAGGCCTAAGTACCTACTATATTAATGGCTACATGGAGCTTTTGGGAAGGTGCTGACTTGGCAGCTACCCAGCCGCCCGAGAACTACACAGCAGTGCATCAGGCAGCGATGGGAGGCGCCCGGCGTGGTTTAGTCGGAGTTTTGCGCGGGAGTTCGGGGATCTACAGGGGACAGGGGATAGGGGGGTTCTAGGGGTTGAAGTATTCTAGGTAGAGGATTTTGGATCAGTTTCAGGTTTGTGACGAGGGATCTGTTTGGGATGCAGTAGACCAGTTGTTGAAGGAGAACATTGCCCTTATCGTTTACGGAGGTTGCAGAAGATGCTACTAGTACCAGAAGACATGAGCCCAGCTATGCGGATACCTGGGATTCAAGTTCCAGGGTGGTATGACACATTCGAGAGCGAGAGCTGTGGAGATTGTACGAGTGCGGCACCGCGAGGGTGAGTAGGGTTTAGCCTGGCGGGTTCCTACATCCTATTTTGGAGTATGTTGGGTTTAGGGTTCCGCATTCCTAGATTGGGTTGGGTTCCTAAATCCTAGATCCTATCCAGTTTAGGCTTGGGCTTTCAGTAGTTTCAGGATTTGGAGTGTGCCTGCCACCAAAAATCTTCTGAGCATTGGGCCTAGAGACCTGTGTTTGTTGTAAAAGTTCTCATGAACTATCAGGAGCTATAAGTTACACCTGCATAAGAAGCTACACATGGAAAAGCACCGGCAAACCATAACAATTCGGAAGCCATGAATGCTATGATGTGCTGGGCTTGGGGTGTAGTTCACAATTAGGCTTTAAGCGTATTTCGGCCTTGTACGCGAACGCCCTCAACTAATCAGGGTTTATGGGGGGGGGTGTAGGGTTTAGGGATTCGGGTTCCGCCATGGAGGTCATGTGGAGGTCCTTCGCATCCTGGCCAACGCCAGAGCCGACTTAGGCCGATGACAAGTGCTTCTGCTGCGGCGTTTTGGGGTTTAGAGTTTTGGGGTTTAGGGTTTAGAGTTTAGGGCTTACTTAGAGTTTAGGTTTTAGAGTTTATGGTTTGGAGTTTAGAGTTTAGGGCTTAGGCCTTCGGTTTTATAAAACTCGCAACTGTTTTGTGGGAAGCGGCGCAGGGCTTGGGGTCGAACTCAGAGCAGACAGCCTTCCGCGTGCTCACAAACGCAAATCGGGATCAAGTAGAAGGGGCCCCCACCCTGTAATAGTGGTTTAGTAGGAATATAATAGGGCCCTAATATAATCCTTACAGGGTTGGGGCCCCTTCCAAGGGATCTGGTTCCCGGGTTGGGGATATTGGGTGACCTGCATATGCAGGTAGTCTGAGCTTACTGAGGGAGTGACACTTGCCAAATGCCGAAGACAGCTCCGGCTGGTACCAGCAGAACATGGTCTAACGCCTCGGGCTCAGGGTTTTGGTTGCAATCTACCGAAAAAACCCCTAAACGGTACCTTGTCTGCTTTCTCAGGGCTTTCTGAGCCAGGAGCCAGGGATGTGCGGCGGCTGAGTGCAGCACACCTCGCTGCCGATGCTGGCCAGGCACTCCTTCACTTCACGCGTGCGATCGTCCTTGCCACCGGTGGGTGCATAATATAGGGGCCTAAATAATTACCGATACTATTTACGGGGTGTTCCTTATAATAATTATAGTATACTGGGCCCTAAATCCCTGTTCTAATTGTTCAGGCTCCTATATTAGCATTTTTCCCCAACCCTTCGGTACCACGACGCAGGTTTTAATCCCGAGCCTTGGATTCCTCATGTGTCAGATTGTGGAAAGCATTGAAATCTAAAGCCCCGAAACCGAAAACCCTGGACTTTAATCCAGAATGTACGAAACTCTAGACTCCCACCCTAAACCCTACACCCTACACCCTAAACCCTACCGTATTCTAGCTTCTCACTTTGAATCAGCACTATTTCATGTGCTGTTTGTTTTCCCAGACTGTCCTTCTGGGGAGGAGTTGAATATCGGGCCATCTGTAATTCGAGTTTAGGGCCCGGGGCGGATCATAGTACAGCTGTGTCAGGGCTCAGGTTACCTGTTCCTGGTGAAAAGTTACGTTATCAACCCTATTTCGATGACAGAATCCAGCGCGAAGTCCATCGCTCAGACGCCCCCCACCCGAACAAAAACTCGGATGCAAATCCAACTCCCTTATCGAAGCATTGTAAAAGCCCTCTAGAGCCCTTACAGAACTCGCATTGAACTTGCATTTTCATCTACAAACCTTGGCGATGTCTACCCAGAAAGTCCTTTGACTTGACTTCGATCGAGGTCTGTGCAGGTCGAGGCAAACTTAAGGTTCAGGGTGTGCTACTGTTGATGATATAAATCCTGCATTACTTTTAGGACCCTAAAATATGGGAATGATGGTAAATTCCTTATTATGGGTAATGCAGGATTTATATCATCAACCGTAGAGCCCGAAGCCTCAGGTGCTGAGTAGGTGAGCTTTAACCCTTTTCAGGCTTAGATGACCAGCCATAACCGAAAAGGCGAACCTTTTGGGCGGGGAGGACACTCATCCCTCAACCTACCTTTGGTTAGTAGGAGGAATGGTAGAAATAGTAGTTATAATTGTACCCCGTTCCTCCATTCCCTACTAACCAAAGGTAAGTCAAGAAGCCGAGTTCTCCGGCTTCAGCCTTGGAGCAACAACATTTTCCGAGCTGGCCCCAAAAAGATCGTTTACTCCTCAAAATCTCTGAGAGCCCTAGAAGCACCGCTGTGACTCAAGCCCTTTGCTGTATGTGCAACGAAGGCCCTAAAACCTAAGGAACCGAATATAGGAGCATTATAAAAAATTACGTTTGTTTTATTTATGTTCCTTAGGGTTCCTTATTATACGAAAAGTCATACTTATTGTATAATATACCCCGAAACCCTATTCTAATTCTAAGACCCCTACCTTAGACCGAAATGAGATCCCAGAAGGTCGACGTCATTCGCTTCCTTCACGGAGCCAACCCCACCCTGCTGGAAGCCGCCGACGGCGCGGGGAAGACTCCCGTGCACCGGGCAGCGCAGCGTGCCTGGGCTGACGGCTCAGGGCTTAGGGCTTACTGGGATACTGGAATCTGGCTAAGAAATTACATTGTATTTCATTTACCATATCAAGGAAACCATGTTACTGTTAACTTTAGATCCCATACTATGGCTGTTGAAACAAAGAACCTAGCTGAGGGCAGTTGGCTTCGGGTTTAGGGTAACGAGGTAAACAGGGTGGCCAGGGGCGTTCATGTTGGTTTCTAAAACACAGTGGTTTGGGTTCTCTCTAGAGTCTCGGGCCAAAAGAGCGTGTTAGCGGTGAAGCGATTCTCGGGTTTGTAAGGTGGGCTTCCAGGAGGGTGTATATGGGCTTTGGTAGCTTCGGGGCAACCCTACGAGGCAGCATCGAAACGTAGACCCAAAGTTGGATGAATTAGTTTTCTCGTGCTTCCAATTCCATCGCTGGATTCCAACAGTTTAAAGATTTGACACTTCAAGAGTTTAGGGCTTGATGGTCAAACAGGCTGAGGGCCTAAGGCTAATAGGGTTTAAGCCTAACGGGGCCCTGGGTTGTTCGGTTTAAGGCTCAGGCTTTTGGACTAAGGCTAGACTGGGGTGTACCCGGACCCCAAATAAACACCCTTTTTAAGGACTCATCATAATAGGGAGCCGTAACAAGACAGGATTTATTGGGTCCACGTAAGCCTTGAGCTGTATCCCTAAACCCTAAAGCCTGAACCCCTAAACCCGAAACCCATCAGGAGGACGGACTGACGTCCTGGAAGCTTTGGAGGACTGGGCATGCAGGTTTCGTGAGCAGACAGGGCTTTTGATTTTGATTTTAAGGTTGAGGGTTCAGGATCTGCGGTTTAGGGTTTCAGATTTAGGATTTAGGCTTTTGGGTTTAGAGTTGAAAGGCTCAGGCATGCAGTGTCTATCCTTGTTGCAAAGAGTGCTCCGAGCTCGTTGGAGCAAGATGTAACACAAGCTTCCCCGAACCCAAAGCCGTGCAGCTCCAGTGAAAAACCCTGAACCACCTAGTCCCCAACCCAAAACCCTAAAAACTCATGGGTTTCGAAGGTCCCTTGGAGAATCCTTTGTACTAAAAACCTTTGTAGTACTTAAAGGATCATGGGACTTAGTGACTAGGGTTATAACTAAGGTAACTGCACTTATAACTACTCATAACCCCAATTAAGGTACTTATAACCCTACGTACTAAGTCCCATGATCCTCCCATTATAGAACCCTTATAGCTCCCTTTAAAGGAACCTTACTATAGAGCCCTATAGTACCCTTAAAGGGAACCCTAAACCTCCGAGTAGGACCTCTACGGAAACCCAAAGCTCTCGTCGAAAGGATCTGGGGGTCGACCTGAGCGTGGAAACGCCGGGTGGCAAGACGGTGGCACATCTGGCCGCAGAGGCTTTGGGCCAAGAAGAGTTGATTAGGGTTTAGGGTTGAGGGTCCAGGGTGTTAGGGTTAGGGTTTAGCGAAGATGGGTTTGTGGGTTTTTGTGCGTTTAGGATTTTATGAAGGGCCCGGATTTTAGGTTTAGGAACTAGGGTTCGGGGTGCAGAAACCTCGGTTTGAGCATCCACCGCCCGAATTTGCTCGAACCTCGAACGCCCCTTAGCGTTTTGCGCAGTATAGATTCTCCCTGGGGGTTCTGGCTTAGATGCACTTTCGGGATGAGCATTCCTTCTGGTCCGGTGCTCAAGGTTTAGCCTTGTTGGCAGCTGGCAAGCTGACAGCACGGTCAGGAACACAACCATCCAAAGGCCTCCGATCGCCAAAGATACGTTTTGCCGACGATGTTTGGCACCGTGTACCCTAACCTCTAAACATCCCTCAACCACATTTCTGCGGGGTAAACCCTAAACCTTGTGGTTCCTCCAAGGTTCAACCCGTCTGTACGAGTATGTTGGTCGTTGGTTTCGTACGTAGGGGGAACCTTCGGGAGGTCTGGGAGGCTTGTGACTCCCTGGACCGTGATGGTCAGCAGTTCAACGATGGTCAGCATCCCTCAACCCTAAACCGCTTGTTTAGCAGCCAAGCATAAGACACTTGTAAGCTTCCTCCCAGCGTGCTCTGGGAAGCCGACTCATAGGTACGGTTGATGATATAAATCCTGCCTGACCCATGATAAGGAATAGACCATAGTTCCCAAAGCTTAGGGTCCTAAAGGTAATGCAGACGGATTGCTGGTGGAAAAAGGGGCTCAAAAAAAAAAGGTAATGCAGGATTTGTATCATCAACAGTAGTACCTAGAGAGCCGCTTCCTTTACTTCAGGGACCCAAGCCTGTGACTCTGAGAGCGGGGTACCTACGGTTGATGATCTAAATCCTGCATTCCCAAGAATAAAGCATATACCATTATTCCCATAGTTTAGGGTCCTTAAGGTGATGCAGGATTTATAGTAATATAAATCCTGCATCAACCGTACGTAATTCATTGCAGCTCAGTGCTTTGCAAGGCTGGCCAGAACAACGTCCTGCGGTTTCTGCCTCCCAGTGGCCCGGCTGTACTTCATATTATGTTTCCGCTTTGCGCATCGGATGTTGCAGCCCTGCAACCTAAGCAGACTAGGGTTCGGAACTGAGGTTGTCAGACATAAGAACTGTCGAGCTTTGGGTGTGCAGGGTCTGCCATGTGGCCTGAACATTGAGCCTTCGAACTCGAACCTTGCGACAATTCCTTTTAACCCCCGATTTCCTGCAGGGGGTTGTTGCGTATTCTCTTTGCAAGAAGACTCGAACCTTTATCCTATAATATGGGAGTTTCCTAACATGGGGGACCCTAATATGGTACCCTGTATAGTAGGATCCTGATTATAAGGGCCCCCAATAAGGTACCCCTAATTTTCGGAAACTCCCATATGTGGGCTGCACCTGGTCAGGAAGGCCTCTACAGCGGCCTTTCGTTGCGATGGAACTAATTTTGCCTATGTGGTTTAGGCCTTGGTGTTTAGGGTACAAACCCTAGTACTCGCAGTAGAAGTACGGGGTTTGTAGCCTGATTGCGCAGGGTAGACTCACCAGGAGAGCTTTGTTTGCCAGTAACTGAGTTCATACGGGCGGCCTTTGAAGGTAAGTGGCGAGATACCATTTGGGAGTCTCACCAAATAAGAGCCACCAATACAGACAGGATCCTGATTGAAGGCGCGCTAAATCCCCGCCCGATTCTCTTGGCGTCGATGTTAGCCGGGTTCCCAGAAGCAGCCCCAAGCTAAGGTCAGTGCGTCGAGCTGTTGAAGCTGACAGAGAGCACTCTGGAGTCAGAGAGAACTGCACCGTCGCAACGGGGATGTTCAGGGCACATAGTTTTCCTAAAGAAGTCTAGGTTTGGAGGTGGTCGTCTTGGGGTTCAGGGGTTTAGGGAGAGTTCAACTTGTGTCTGTGTTTGTCTGATTGGAAAAGGTGTGTGCGTGTGTGTGTATGTATATATATATATATATATGTATGACATGTGGCCTTGTTGGATGCTTGCTGCACTAGAGGGTCCAGGAGCTGCAGCGAAGGCAGATGAATTGGTGATAGTATTCCATGGTGGAGTTACGGTATGAAATCCTCCAAAACCCTGTTATAGTTATGTCAAATTTGTGGCCTTTTGTGGATCGCTGTACCCCAGGACTTCTCATGCAACACCTCCTCTACGCCGCTTGAGACCCAAAGGGGATGTGTATACCCAAGAACCACATCGCGCGCTTGAGGTTTGAGGGCATAGACGACTTCAGATATTTCAGAGTCGATGCCACTGTTCAAGCGGCTGCTGGCAGTATGCAAGGCATCATGCGCGGGGAGAAGCCCATCAAGAGCATGTGGGAGAAGGACCTGTTAGAGTCTTTGCTGGGTCTTGGACTGGGAACTGAATGCAGCCCAGGTACTAAGGGCCAGACGTATAGTGAAGCCCGACATGGCTTTGTGCGCCAGATTGCTCGGTGTCGTAAACCAAAGACCTGAACCCATTGAGAACAGTCTCGGGAATAACTTCCAAGGACAGTCCCCTGCTTCAACCTGATTTAGGACTCAATTTAGTACTCATTCTGTCTGGATTTCAGACTTGGTCTCGTCTGTGCAATGTACGACTACTGTAGCATCTAGTAGCATCATGTACTTGTGAGACCTTGCACTTCGCGATTCAGGCCGCCCGATGGAGGCTACCCTAGTCTGGTGTCGCTTCAGGCTAAACGGGGATGTCGGGTTCGGAGCTTAGTTGTGTTTGGGCGGAGCCCTGACTCAGAGGACTTCAACACCACGAGAAAACCCGAGGCTTACAACCTAAAGCCCCTAAGCCCTAATACTTCTTAACCCTTATCCTCTAAAGCTTAAACCCTGCAACCCCCCTCAACCCTAGACCCCTGAACCCTAAGCCCCTAAAGCCTAAACCCTACAACCCCCCTAAACCCCAAACCCCTGAAACCCTAAATCCTAAAGCCCCTGCCCTCCTCGCAGGAGACGCCGAGACGACCTGGCACAGTGAGGCCAGCCTCCGTAGAATTGTGAATGTGAGTGGTTGTCAAAATCATGGTCCCTATTTGGGTCCTTAATATACTACGGCACCTATTATTCAGGGTATTGAAAAAGGATAAGGTTTCCGAAAGAGAGGGGTCCCTTATTTGGGGGTCCTTATAATAAGGATCCCACCATTTAGGGTACTATATTAGGGTCCCCTATTTTCGGAAACTCCCATGTGTGGGGCGATCGCATATGGTTTAGGATTCAGGGTTTAGGATTTAGGGCTCTGTATTGCTATGATTGTTATAGCTCAGTTGAACAGTGCTACTATGTTTGTGATTCTGTTTGTGATAAAACATGCAATACTGACTGTAAGCACAACGCATTATAGCTTTATGCTTATGTTGGTGTTATCGAGTGCTCTTTTGATGACTGTTGTCATTACACCACCAATGTTGTGAATGTCCAGATTCCCACGGTGACATTGGTATGATGATCATGATGATGGTGCTGGTGATGACGATGACGATGATGACGATGACGATTGCGATTATTCTGTGCAGGACTTTCAGCGGTGGTGCTTCTTGATTCTTTGGGCGAAAAGAGTTGGAGCCCCATTCACCCACCCACCCACCCACAGATTTGACCAGCCGATTTTACAATTTGTTGAGTTGACGGCCGGTTTCAGTCTCAGGTTGTTTGTATTGTGCCGCCAACATTCGTGACAACTCATGTGGGGTTCGCTACAAGATATGCAGCCTCCCACTTTCAAAGTACCTCGTCGAAACTTGCCTTTGCAAAGCAATGGCAGTAGGAATCCGTGACCGGAGGCGGCGACAGAGTCGCCATCCTTTGTTTGAAGGTGCCGGGAAAAAGGACAAGCCTTAGTCAAGGTCAGTGTTCGAGGCTCCAAAGACCATAAGCCGTAGCTTAACCTAAGGGTCAATGTGCACAACTAGTATGTCTTTGGCCTGAGATCAGTCTCCATGTAAGTACGTTCGGGCCAAAGCAAAACACCCTCTGGGCACATGGAACCTCAGGAGTAGGTCCTGTGGCCCTAAACCCTAAAACCACTAAACCCCTAGACCTAAACACCTTACCCTACAGTAAACCCCACAAAGTTGGAAACCGGATCAAGGCCAAATAGTGCTGGGATTCCATATACATTGCTCTTAGGGATTGAGGCTACGGGGTTTCCAACTTTTGGGCTTCTACTGTAAACCCTAAAGGGCTGCGACCAAGACCCCAAGGCGAAGGTTACTTTGCGCAGCAGGGTCGTCTTTCAGTTCGTAGTTTATACTCAGCTGCAGCCTCTCAAACTTTGAACATGGTTCCACTCCGAGGTTTCTCTGAAGCGCAAAAGACATATGTGTGTGTGTATCTATATATATATATATATATTTATGTATATGCTTACGTGTGGGTGTGTGTGTGTACATATATATAGAGTTATAGGGTACTATATACCCTATAAGGCTTGGCTTAGTCATGAGACTGCGTCTTTGGTCATGATGTTGTGTGCAGGATGTATACTTCTAGTCTGCGCTACCCAAGGCCCGTGGTCAAAATCGGCAGACCGACATTTTGGAGTAGCATGTCGTCTGTATCTCCAGAACATGTTGGAATTGGTTGTTTGAGCGGGCTTGCACACTGTTGAATACGGTTCAAGTTGGTGATTTGTGACTGTCTTGGAAATTTAGGTGGTAAGATATTCTAGAAAGGCTTCCATGCACACCAAGGAAAGCAAGAGTATCTCTGCCTGAGACATCCTTCGCCATTGTAATGTAAGGGTCGGGCATTTGTGTTGTTCATCAGAGTAGACCATACCCCTAACGCCCAAAAACTAACCTTGGATCAAGAACCATTGTCGCGGTGCCATCGAAGAAACAGTCGTCCTCGCAGCCGCAGCGATCATGAGAGTGAGAAGGTGAACCGTCTCTTATTTTCCTGGATCTCCCACTTCCCTTACGCTCTCCTTTTCCCTAAGCCCAAAACCCTAAGCCGTGCCACGATCCGGCCAAGGATGTGTCACTTCTTTGAGCGGGGCCGCTGCCTCAAGGCCGGGAGCAGTACCATGGGGATAAGCGGTATGTTGGCATACTATATGGGCCCAAACATTTACCTAATATTTTGAGGGTACCGTTTTATAGTTATAGTATAGTGGGGTCCAAAACCCTACTCTAACTATTCAAGCTCCTATATTAGGCTGCTGTGATTGCAGAAGGAGCCCCACACCAAACCTGCCCAAAGCCCCACAGCCCTAAACCTGAGGTTGCTAGGGCTGCTTGCGTGGTTCTTCGGCCTGAGGTTAGAAGTACGGGCCCCTACTATGGACGCTTCGGCCTTTTTGAGGGAGTTCTAGGGACCCTTAAGAGTCTATATAGGGTACATCGTAGGTCTTTAAGGATCCCAAGGTTAAGGGCCCATGGTTTCAACCGTTGATTTGGTGCATGGCAGTTCAGACCTTTCTCACTTCGGGGCACAGGCCTCAGGACTCCTCTTATCCAGGGCTTGTTGCTTGAGGGGTCATGCAGAAGCCTAATCACCATTACCAGTACCAATTCCCAAACCCCACTCTAACTCCTGAGGCCTCTTTGTTACTGATGTTGAGGCTGAATGTAATTAGGAGCGTTGAGGCTTCGGTTCCTCTACCGCAGGGATATATCATTCATACAATCGAATCGGTTATGCTGACTGGTTCTGGCTCCAAGTATCAACATACCCTCTACAAGATCCTCCAACAAGCTCTTCTTGGCAATTAATGTCTCTCACGCAGTCTCACACACAGGTTCTACCAGTCTCAGCGACACTCGATGCCAAGCCCTAACGACCACCCTAAACCCGAAATCCAGAACCCTAAGCCCAAAAGCCTAAACCCAAAACCCTAAAGCCCTAAACCCCAAGCCCGAAACCCTAAGCCTAGAATTGGCCGGGCTTCCGTGGCGTCCTCTGGGGGCCAACCCGGAAGACGCAACGCACAACATAAGATGTTTTCGTATAGAGTCATATATACCATAGTATACGCATTATATATATATATATATGTTAATATGATATACCCTGACTTAATGGAACAACTTTACCGAGTGCCCCCATCTCCAGATCTCTAACGACCTATATACCCAGATATCGGTTCCTAAGAATGAAGACAAACCTAAACCCCAAACCCTAAACGGACCTAACCTGTCGACACGTGAATCTGAACCAAGACCCAATACGTACATCCGAGGACTTGCCCCCCAACACACTGTCACCGTAGGGTAGGATTTGGAGCTGGGGCATATCTAAACGTGAAGTCTCAGGCGTCAGAGCTCCAATAAGTTGTAAGTCCACTGGGCATTCGGAGGGAGAACGCTGCAACCACGCGCATGGCCCAGAGGACGGCCCTCCGAGCTTAAGAAGCGGGGGGTTTTGGGGTTCTCGAGTCGAAGCACATGTGTTCTGCAGTTCGAGGTATACAACAAAATTTCACACAAGAGACACACGGACATCATGTTTGCGGTAGAGCTGGATAGAAGGAAAGAACGATTGAGTAAGGCACTGTCAGCATTTTTCGTTCAAACTCCAGGAACTCGGCATCCAAGTTTTCGGGTGAGGGGTTCTCGAGTTTGATGGGATCCTCCAGTCGGCAAGTTTGGGGACTATGTTATAGTGTAGCATGGTATTGTATAGCATAGTATATTCTGTTGCACTGCAGTGTTGACCCAGCTGCTGCAATGATTCCTGTGAATGCACTGCAGGGGGAGTTTGGTCACTTGTTCGCATCTGTGCCTTGTTCAGACCTGCTTTGGGGTCATCATGTTCCATGATGGCGTTCAGTCTGCCTGATGGTGTTTCTACGGGGAAGACGGGCCACAGCCACGCGCCTTTTTTCAGAGAAGCCCGTCCCATCCCGCATACTTACACGAAGGCGTCGGTCGGAAAGCAGGTCATGGAGTGGGCTGCTCCATTTGTGCTCACTTGCGCGAGGAGGCCGAGAAGCTGGCCCCACGAGCTTCGCAAAGGCAGAAGTCTCGATTTGCAGCCTACAATACAAAGTTTGGCAGGTACGAGATCCGCGGAGGCGGGCCACGGCGGCACCGGTCGGCGGCGCTCTGGGGACGCAAGGTCGGCTAACACGCGCGCTGCCCTGCCCAAAGGCTCCAGCATTTCCGTTGGGTCCGTCCACCACCAGTTGAAGGAGGAAGCGGCTAATGAGGGGGTGCCGCTTCCCGTCGGAGCTCAGAAAGTCGGCGACCTCCTCAAGGTGCCCGAAGGCCCCAAAGTAGTTCCTTTTTGGGATTACCTTATAGGATTCTATCTATGAACCCCCAAACAGGAACTACTTTGGGGCCTTTGGGTGCTGCCGACCGAAGCCCCAAGAGGCTTCGATACGGTGGAAGCCACCTTTGCAACCCTTGACATGCTCAAGGTCTGACCGAATTTCCATGCACTACCCAAAGGCCCCAAAGTAGTTCCTTTTTGGGGTTCGTAAATAGAATCCTATAGGGTAATCCCCAAAAGGAACTACTTTGGGGCCTCTGGGTATAGTGCAGCACCATATATCACAGCATCTAAAGCGCAGTATGGTAGTGCATTCCAAAACCCGAAACTCTAAACACCCGCATCCCCACAACCTGGGCCCTAAAACCCGAACCGATCAGACAGTGCCGCAGTTTTCCCGTCTCGTCGTTTCTGTAATTGCTCGTAATGTAGGATCCTGATTAAGAAATCCTGACCCTATAATTCCAATATATGAGGATCCATAGTAAGAGCCCTGATAAGGACCCAACGTTTCCTAACTGGAGCTTCGAATCCTCGGCAAACCCTAGAAGCTAAAGCCTTGAACACTCAACATAGTTAAACTAACCGTTGTTATTGGAGGAGCTAAGGAGCCAGGGATGATGACAATCCCTGTTAAATAAGGAGCTAAAGAGCCAAGAAAACCCCAAAAACCACTGGTTGTTATCCCAGACCCCCGGTGTGGAGCGTCTAGAATCGAAAAAGGAGGACCCTGATCTGGGAACCCCAAACTACTACAGGGAACTCCAGAAAGTTGGAATATGGAT